TGGGGATATGGGATGTGGGATGTGGGATATGTGATATAGGGTATGGGGTACTGGGATATGGGGTATGGGATATAGGATATGGGGTGTGGGATATGGGGTGTGGGATGTGGGATATGGGATATAGGATATAGGGTATGGGATATGAGGTATGGGATATGGGGGTATGGCATATAGAATGTGGGATAAGGGGTATTGGATATGGGATATAGGGGTATGGGATGTGGGATACGGGATATGGGGATGTGGGGTATGGGATATGGGATATGGGGTATGGGATGTGGGATATGGGATATAGGACACGGGATAACGGCCTCTCGCTGTCCCGCAGCCCCACCATGAGGCCGTTGGTCGCCGCCATCCCCACGGCCCTGCTGCTGCTGCTGCCCCTTCCCTCCGGTACGGGGAGCGCTGGGGGGGAATGGGGGGACCCCAGTATTAGACACCCAAACCCCCGTTATTAGCCCTAATAATCACCCAAACCCCATTATTAGCTCTAATAAACACCCAAAACCCCGTTATTAGCCCTAATAATCACCACAATCCGCCATTAGTTGCCCTAATAACCACCCAAAACCCCATTATTACCCCTAACAATCACCCAAACCACCAGTATTACCCCAATAAACACCTAAAACCCCATTATTAGCCCTAATAATCACCCCAATCTGCCATTATTAGCCCTAATAAACACCCTAAACCACCATTATTAGCCCTAATAATCACCCAAAACCCCATTACTACCCCTAATAGTCACCCCAATTCGCCATTATTAGCTCTAATAACCATCCAACCCCCCATTATTACCCCCAATAAACACCCAAAACCCCGTTATTCCCCCCAATAAACACCCAAAACCCCATTATTCCCCCAATAACTACCAAAACCCCATTATTACCCATAATAGTCACCCAAACCACCATTATTCCCCCAATAAACACCTAAAACCCCGTTATTAGCCCTAATAATCACCCCAAACCACCATTATTAGCCCTAATAATCACCCCAAACCACCATTATTAGCCCTAATAACCATCCAAAACCCCATAATTACCTCTAATAATCACCCCAAACCACCATTATTAACCCTAATAATCACCCCAAACCACCATTATTGGCCCTAATAACCACCCAAAACCCCATTATTCCCCCCAATAACTACCCAAAACCCCATTATTACCCCTAATAACCACCCAAAACCCCTAATAATCACCCCAACCGCCTTTATTACCCCTAATAATCACCCAAACCCCCCATTATTCCCCCTAATAATCCCCCCAAATCCCATTAAAACCCCTAATCCCCATTATTAGCCCTATTATTAGCCCTAATCGACCTCCATCCCCGCCTCCCTAGGGATACACGCTGCCCCCTGGGCCGCCTGGATGCCTCCCGCCGTCGCCGGCCTGTCGGGAACGTGCGTGTCCATCCCGTGCCGCTTCGGTTATCCCGAGGAGCTGCGTCCTGCCTCCATCCATGGGATGTGGTACTTCGGGAGCCCTTATCCCAAGAACTATCCCCCGGTGGTGGCCAGATCCCGGCCCGGAGCGGTCCATGAGAGCTTCACAGGCCGAGCCGTGCTCCTGGGGGATCCCAATATCCGGGATTGCTCCCTGCTCCTTGGGCCCCTCAGCACGGAGCTGGCCGGGAAGTATTACTTCCGAGGGGATCTGGGGGGATACAACCAGTACAGCTTCTCGGAGCACACCACGCTCGAGGTGCTGGGTGAGTATGGGGGCTATAGGGGGCTGGATCCCATTAGAGGGGGGCTGGATCCCAATAGAGTGGTCTTGGATCCCATTAGAGGGTCTTGGATCCCATTAGAGGGTCTTGGATCCCATTAGAGGGGTCTTGGATCCCATTAGCAGGGGGCTGGACCCCAATAGAAGGGTCTTGGATCCCATTAGAGGGGGGCTGGATCCCATTAGAGAGGGGTTCTTGGTGCTTTGGATCCCATTAGAGGGGTCTTGAATCCCATTATTGGGATCTTGGATCCCATTAGAGGGTCTTGGATCCCATTATTGGGGTCTTGGATCCCATTATAGGGTGATGGGTACTTTGGATCCCATTAGAGGGGTGCTGGATCCCATTAGAGGGGTCCTGGATCCCATTATTGGGGTCTTGGATCCCATTAGAGGGTCTTGGTTCCCATTATTGGGGTCTTGGATCTCATTAGAGGGGTCTTGGATCCCATCAGAGGGTGATGGGTGTTTTGGGGACCATTATAGGGGTGCTGGATCCCATTAGAGAGGGGTTCTGGGTGCTTTGGACCCTATTGAGGTGGGTTCTGGGTGCTTTGGACCCTATTTAGGTGGGTTTTGGGTATCTCTCCTCATCCCATTGATTCCCATTGTCTCCTCCCTCTATCCCATCGATCCCCATTGACTTCTCCCTCTATCCCATTGATTCCCATTGTCTCCTCCCTCTATCCCATCAATCCCCATTGACTTCTCCCTCTATCCCATTGATTCCCATTGTCTCCTCCCTCTATCCCACCGATCCCATTGGATTCTCCCTACTCTATCCCAGAGGAGCCGGTGCTGGAGGTCCCCCCGGAGGTGGTGGCAGGAGAAGAGGTGGAACTCCGTTGCCGTGTCCCAGATAACTGCCCCCAGCTCCGGCCCCGCGTCACTTGGGAAGGGATCCAGGAGCTTCTCGACGTCTCAGAGCGGGAAGCACGGGAAGACGCCGCCGGAGCCGCCTCCATCCTGGCTCTGCTCCGCTTCCGACCCCAGCGTGAGGACGGCGGCCGCCGCCTGGGCTGTCGCGTGGCCTTCACCAACAGCTCCTTGGCCTTCGAGGCCACCGTCGCCCTCGATGTGCAGTGTGAGTTAGGGGGGGTCTATGGGGGCATCTCTGGTGGGTTCCAGGTCATCTTTGATGGGTTTTAGGTCAATTTGGTTGGGTTCTGGGTCATCTTCGATGGGTTCTGGGTCATCTCTGATGGGTTCTGGGTCATCTTTGTTGGGTTTTGGGTCATCCCATTGGGTTCTGGGTCATCTTCGATGGGTTCTGGCTCATCTTCGATGGGTTTTAGGTCAATTTGGTTGGGTTCCGGATCATCTTCAATGGGTTCTGGTTCATCATTGTTGGGTTCTGAGTCATCCCATTGGGTTCTGGGTCATCTTCGATGGGTTCTAGGTCAATTTGGTTGGGTTCTGAGTCATCATTGTTGGGTTTTGTGTCATCCCGTTGGGTCGTGGGTCATCTTCGATGGGCTCTGGATCATCTTTGAGGGGTTCTGGCTCACCTTCGTTGGGTTTTAGCTCAATTTGGTTGGGTTCTGGCTCATCTTCGATGGGTTCCGGCTCATCTTCATCGGGTTTTAGGTCAAGTTAGATGGATTTTAGGTCATCTTTAATGGGTTCTGGGTCATCTTTGCTGGGTTCTGAGTCACCTTGGATGGGGTTTAGGTTGTCCTTGTTGTGTTCATGGTCATTATATTGGGTTGTAGGTCATCTCAGACGTGTTCTGGTCATCCTATTGAGTTCTATCGCACCCCATTGAGTTCTAGGTCACCTTAGGGTTCTAGGTCACCCTGTTGGCTTCTACCCCACCCCATTGAGTCCTACCCCACCCCACTGTGTTCTAGGTCACCCTAGGGTTCTAGGTCATCCTACTGGCTTCTACCCCACCCCATTGAGTCCTACCCCACCCCACTGTGTTCTAGGTCACCCTAGGGTTCTAGGTCATCCTACTGGCTTCTACCCCACCCCATTGAGTCCTACCCCACCCCACTGTGTTCTAGGTCACCCTAGGGTTCTAGGTCATCCTACTGGCTTCTACCCCACCCCATTGAGTCCTACCCCACCCCACTGAGTCCTACCCCACCCCATTGAGTTCTAGGTCACCCCATTGTATTCTAGGTCACCCTCGGGTTCTAGGTCACCCTACTGGCTCCTACCCCACCCCATTGAGTCCTACCCCACCC